TCTCTCTCTCTCTCTCTCTCTCTCTCTCTCTCTCTCTCTCTCTCTCTCTCTCTCTCTCTCTCTCTCTCTCTCTCTCTCTCTCTCTCTCTCTCTCTCTCTCTCTCTCTCTCTCTCTCTCTCCCATGACGCGATGGACCAATTTGCTAACCAACAACGTCTTTTCCCCTAGTACTACGTCGCCGTCATCCGCGAGGAGACGTACCGCGCCCTCAACGGCCTCGCCATTAACGAGCGCGCCAACGTCACCAGCCACGGCCAGGACGTAGACACGTACTTTGGCTACCTGTGGCGGGAGCTCAACATCCCGCGCGGCCAGGACTTTGACGACATGACGCTGGCCGCCGCCGCCCAGCAGGAGCTTGCCGTCATCGAGCGCATCATCTGCCGCGCCTTCGCCAAGCCCGCCTGAGTGTCGCGGCGCCTTCGGCTGGGGACATGTGTCGCCGCTCCCACACGACCACCCCTGTCTCGTCTGTCAGAGTTCACAAGAGGAGTTGGGCTGCATGGCAATGAGCCGGGCCACATGACGTGCTCGTCTTCCATCATCGACCCCTGCTGCCCCTCAGAGACGGGCTTTTTTTTTCGTTGCCCATCTGGACTTGTCTCCGTCAGTTGGTGCTTCCTTCCATGGATTAGCCTCAGCTAACAGCTCCTATAAGCCTGGCTGGAGATTCTGGATGGGGGGTATGAATGGGAATGCTTTTTTTTATTTGACAGAGAATGGATCAAATCGTGGAGGATTTCTTTTGCTACCTTGGACGAATTGACAATCTCGAGGGAGTAAAGGAGTGGAATTTGCTCGTGGAGGAACTATTTACTGGTCACGGGGAAGGTCGGATCGAGTTTCTCCTCCCATATTCGGGGTTTTTTTTTCTGATTTGTTTCCTTCGAGTGGGACCTCCATCCCCTTTGCCTTCCATGATGGGTACGCCTTACTTGGCTTGGGCGTTTATGAAATGAGCACGGTTGTCAGATGGTTAAGAAGGAAACAACATGGGCTAGACACACAGATGGGGGAAATAACAGAATGAACCCTGTCTAAGAGCATTTGGGCCACATGGTAGCACCTCTGCTCTTGCAGTCTTCCTGTGGGAAAGGATAGGCTGCGCTTGATGATCTGCACAACCCATGATATATGAAGGTTCTTTTTTTTTTGGCCTGGCTCGGGGTTGGTGTGAACCCGGACAGGGTTTGTAAAAGACGGTAAACAAAGGCCGCAGAAAAGGAATGACAGAAGATGATATATTTTGTGAGGCCGTGATCGATTGGGGTAGGCAAACGTGGGCTAGTTGTGTGAGCAGGTGATCGGTCCCGGGTTGTTATGTCTTGTCGACTCCAAAACACCGAACCCATTCCCGCAGCCGACGAACTCCTTGGTCATAGCATATCCGGGATGTTCGCGGGCGTCGTCACCCCTGGTGGCTTGTTCTCTCTAATAGGCAAGTTTGATATCAGCCGGATGCCATGATTCCGGAGACGGAGATATGGTGGAGACCGGCGGAGGGAAAGGAGAGGGAGTGGAACGCTGCGACGCAAGGGAAGTAATAAAGCAAAGCTTACAGCGTCTGTGGGATCCCGGTGGCCGTGCTCAGGGCAGATACCGCGGGAAGGGCCGCGCGCCTCGGTGTAGTCCAGGGTGCCCTTGTTGGGGTCCTTGTAGTCGCAGCTCGGTTTGCCGCAGTCGATGATCTCGACAGTTGACGGGTCCTTGCATTTCTTGCCGCACCAGAACTGCTCGTAGTGCTCGTGACACATGGCTGCTGTGGGGAAGAAGGTTGAGAACGCAAGGGGCGGGCGAGAAGTAGGACAGTGATGTGAGTGAGTGGGCAAGCGGGTGAGTGTGGGCTCAAGGCTGGGGTAGATGTCTGATCTGTGGCCTGATGGAGAGGCTCGTCTCGTCAAGGCAAGAGGGAAAGTGCCTGGATATATACAGCACGACGGGCAGCCCCTGGGCCTCTCCCTGTGTGCCCTCTCGATCGGGCGACTCGGCCCCTGTCTCTTCTCGCCCGTTCCAATACCCAGGCAGCTTGACCGCCTGAGCTTATCATCATTGCTTTTCTTCCCCTCGTCTGACGGTGCCTCCAGCCTATGAACACCAGGCCCGGGGCAATGGCGATAGGACTTCCTCCACGGCGCTTGCTCGTGATCTCTGGTTGGCCCTTCACCCCGTCCCTTTGCCACCGTCTAGATAGCGTCTGCGGACTCGCATGCGAGCTTCCCCTTTCCATCACAGCTGCATGAGACTCCTCACTTTCCTTTCTTTCTTTTTTTTACGCCCTTCTTGCCTCCTCGGGCGTCCGGCGATCCAAGGGAGAGAGGCAATATTTCGTGGGGGTGTGGTGGCTTGTCCATTCACACGCATCCTCCCTCGAGCAGCTGCATGCATGGCAAGGGCGCGTGGCCTGTAGGCCGGGGTGGGTGAAGAGAGCGAGGCCGTTGCACTACTTAGCGACCAGACCGGGGAAGCAAGAACCGGGGGGTGGGGACACCGCCGTGAGCCTAGTCTCGGCTCCCTCGCCTGGTTCCGGGCCGCTGGGTCAGGCAGCCGGCTAGATGGACCAGCGATCATATTCGGTGGCCCACTGCCTGGGCTGCGTCCCAAGCACGCCAAGTGAATTCGGGCGTGCATACAAATGGCCTGATGGAAGCAAGAAAGGGAGTGAGATGTGACCAAATACTTGCTCAGACTTGTTGGTTGCGTTACAGGCCGCCGCCTCATTTCGCAGACACCAGAGGGCGTGCTGCTCCGTCATGTGTTTGGAGGCTCTTCGGGGCCATGATGAGGGTTGGGGGCCCGGAATGCGACAGCCCCTTGGGGCTTCCGAGTGGCCCCTGCTCCCTTGGGTGGCGACTTTCCGATCTGGGCTTCAAGCAGCAGCTGCGTCCATCGGCTAAATAGCACAACGCACACAAAACACGATCCCTTGCTAGAGTGTATTTTAGCAAGCAGTCGTGGAGTCCAAGATGTTGATCAATAAAAGGTGACGTAGGGAGGCGTCTGCTAGATTTTGGCTGGGGTTTCGCTGAGTGGTAGTTCCGTTGAATCGGATTGCTGTTCACACAATGGAGGTTGTCACACGTCGTGTTGGTGCGTCGGCCGACTCCACGCCACAAGCTTGCAAGCATTTCCATTTGCGAGATGCATCGATCGATTGGCGCGGGCTTGATTGGACGAGGAGTCATGAGTGCCCCGCTTTCCTGGGGAATTTGTCCCCGCGATTGCTCCTTATCGGGCTTATCAACGAGCATGTCCCTCCTGCATCGGGCAGGTACATGGGAATTTTTCATTTTTCACCTTCGTCATGGAGGGTCGCGTTGTGATATTTTTTTTATGCTTAGGATCGCGACTTTTCTTGCGCCAGAAGCCACACACGCCCTCGATCACGCTACTACCCGACCGCACCCTTGCCACGCTGGCCTGGACATATCAGCGCTATTTCGCCAAAGCCCTGACGACCATGCCATAGCTGGCTCGACCTGCCTCTTTTGCCCTGTGCCCTGGATGGTTTAACCTATCATCTATCAGCAACACTCTCCTGTCTCTGTTTGGTCTCGTCAAACAGTGCCTGCAACAACCGAGCTACAACTGCCCATCAACCGGGGGATTTAGGCCTTGGTGGACACGACTGACGCCTAAGCTGTTCTAACCCGCCGCCTCCCCCACATCCTCCGTCCAAACCACCGCCCCTTGCCCAAACCATGAGCCACCACCAAAGTCCTACCGCCCTGGCGAAGGGCTACACACAAGAGAGCGCCATAAAAACCACACAACTCTCACAGTCCCGAGAGAGCGGGGGTGCCATATCAATCAGGACGGTCCGCGCCAGCAATGCGTCGCCGTTCGCGGCCTCGTGGTCGCACTTTGTGGCCGGAGGGTATGTCTTGCAACGAACCGTTGCATAGCGGGAGGAGACTCCAGGCCCGGCTGACACGGATGCTCTCTGCAAACAGCATGGGCGGCATGACCGCCGCAGCCCTGACGGCGCCGCTCGACGTGCTCAAGACCAGGCTCCAATCTGACTTTTACCAGCAGCAGGTGCGGCAGCACCGCGTGGCCGTCGGGTCCTTCGGCGGCGGCGTCGCCGGCCCGCTGCGCCTCATGCGTCACCACCTGGGCGAGACCTTTGCCATCCTCGGCGCCGTGTACCAGCAGGAGGGCCCCCGGGCGCTGTTCAAGGGCCTGGGGCCGAACCTCGTCGGCGTCGTGCCGGCGCGGTCCATCCAGTTCTTCACGTACGGCAACACCAAGCAGCTCCTGACGACGCACGTCAACCACGGCAGGGAGGCCGGCTGGGTCATCCACCTTGTGTCCGCCATCGCCGCGGGCGTCGTCACGTCGACGGCCACCAACCCCATCTGGCTCATCAAGACGCGCTTGCAGCTCGACCGGAGCACGGCCCTGCGCAGCGGCGCCGGCCTCGAGTCGCGCAAGTACCGCAACAGCCTCGACTGCGTCCGCCAGGTGCTCCGCGACGAGGGGGTCCGCGGCATGTACAAGGGCATGAGCGCGTCGTACCTGGGCGTCAGCGAGCTGACGCTGCACTGGCTCTTCTACGAGCAGATGAAGGGCGCGCTCGCGCGGCGCGACGCCCGCCTCGTCGCCAGCGGCCGCGAGCGCACCGCCTGGGACAAGGTGGTGGACTGGACGGGCAACATCGCCGCCGCCGGCACCGCCAAGCTCCTGGCCGCCGTGCCCACGTACCCGCACGAGGTGGCGCGCACGCGCCTGCGCCAGGCGCCCATGGCCGACGGCAGGCCAAAGTACACGGGCCTCGTCCAGTGCTTCCGCACCGTCTGGCTCGAGGAGGGCGCCGCGGGCCTCTGGGGCGGCCTGACCCCGCACCTCCTGCGCACCGTGCCGAGCGCCGCCGTCATGTTCGGCATGTACGAGGGCATCCTGCTGCTGCTCAACAGGCCCGAGAAGAAGGCGACATTGGACGGCGGCGACCGTCTGTGAATGGCTGGCTCCCTTTCTTTTTCCGACTTGGACACGTCATCTGTGTCAAGTAGAGTACGCGCGAAACCCCCTCCCGGATCAACAAACGGCCTCGGATGAAACGAGAGTCAGGGGCCACTTTGACTCCACGTATATATCGCGACACGATTTTACGGCTCTCCACCATCCACCGGGCAGTGGGTATCTCCCACAATGTCCCGGATGGACTGGCCACGACACGCACCCCGGGAAGTAGTCTTTCACGGTTCCCATGTAATTTTATTCTTTTGTATGAACATAGCACATCACGATACAGCTAGACGGCGGGACACACAATTTTCCGATGGATCGGTCTAGGCGTCCTGGGTTGGCTTAGGTTTTATAAAAAAAAAAGCTGGAGCAGGTTCAAGTCTTATCCGACTCCACGTCGGACTTTCCCCTCTATGCATGTACGATTGGCACACAAGGGTGTTGGATAGCCCGTGGGATTGGCGAGGACGGAGGACTGGCCTGAAGATGGAGGCAATGACACATTGGCAGAAAAGGTACATAACTCCCAGATACCCTACTCAATAGTAATGACCTGTTGGCAAACTCTTGGAGCGTTGGATGATGCACCTTGGGTATTGATATGATTTTGACTTGTGAATAAACATTCTCATCTGGGATGGACAGAAGAGGCCAGGGCCTCCCGGTTATGGTGTCGCAGAGCGCTGTGAGGTAGTAAAAAAAAGGGCTCAGTAACAAAACACCAGAAACAACCAAGACCAAGAGACGGCAAACCCAGAAGAGCCCACTCCCACGGCCGCAATTTTTGGGGTGAGGTTGTAAGTGTGTTTAAATACATACCGTGGGGTCGTTTCTCTTGGGAGGGGTTCATGACAAGCTGGAAGATGAGGTAAGGAATGGAGGGGAATGGCGGAGGAAAACAGGCTAAGAAACATTAAAATGAAAAGAACAAAAAAAGGAGGCGCTGATTTCAGTCTTGGCAATGCGCTACCACCGTCCTTCAGCAATCAGGACCACTTCCATATTCACTATCCAGCTTCTTGAGGGCCTGGAACTCGGCCCAACCCTTGGGCGGCCGCTTGCGCAGCCTCCGGCGCGGCGGCGAGGAGCGGGGACCGGCGCTGCCGTTGCCGTTGCCGTTGCCGGCGGGCGGGGTGGTAGCGGTGGGCTGGAGGCTCCGGGCAAAGCGGACGAGTCACCAGGCATTCCTATCCCAGTTTGGATCTAGACGCCATATATGGTATGAGAATATTGCCCTTCTCCTGCTCCTTCGATCCCCTTCCATACCTGCGTATTACATACCTTGCACAAACGCGGCCAGGACCTTGCTGCCCGTCTGCAGCAGCGGGTGACCGACGACGATGCGGAGGAACTTCTCGAGCCCCGCGCGGCGGCCCTCGATGACGTCGTCGGAGAAGCGGTTGGTGAAGACCTTCCCGGGGAGGGGCGGGATGGTGACGCGGGCCGACTCGCGCTCGAGTATGTCGCGGAAGTACTCAAAGTCCGAGTAGCGGCGGCGCACGGCCGACTGGCGCAGCTTGAAGGCCGGTATGTTTGTGCGGCACACGATCTCGTAGTCGGTGTACATGTGGCGGCCGATGCCGTGCGTGCGCGGGCTCCGCACCTCGATCTCGAGGAAGTTCTCGGGCGGGCCGTAGATCTCGTCGAACGACTGCGACCGGTTGTCGGGCATGGACTGCAGGATAGGCCGGTGTAGCCGGTCGGCCGCCGCCTGCGTGGGCGATAGCGGCGATGTTGGCGACGTCGGCGACTTGAGCGGGGGCTCCGGCCTGCCGCTGTCGCCGCCGCCGCCGCCGCCGGGGGGATTGTTCTCGGTGGCCATTGCCGCCCGCTTGACTTCGATTATTCCTTTGGCTGCGTGTTTTTTTTTTTGCGACGCCGCCAACACTCAGCTTTCACGTCGAGATGGAGGTGCTCCAATGATCCCAGCGACCGGGGGCACTCGCGGCGCGCTATTCCTGCTTATCTACACGAACAGCCCTGGGCTGTGACGGCCCCGCCGATTGCTCTGGTGTTTTTGGCCGCGTGAGGAGGTAGGTGGTGGTGGTTCGATGCGGCGGTTCGCGCCAACTGGCTGGCGGTGGCTGGCTGCTCGCGCGGACAAAAAGGGCGGGGTCGCGTGCCGGCAGGTTTGGGGTATTTGGATCGCTAGCGTCGAGGGCTGGCTGCGCGCGCAAACGTTGGGAGGAACGCTGGCGGCCGAGGTGGTAAGTGGTGCGGAGACGAATGGACGGACTCGCCGCAGCTTCTGAAAGCAGGCCAAGCTTGGGCTTGTGCCTTGAAGGAATGGAGTCCAAGTCGATTGGAAACGGCGGGGTCTGACAAGGCCGCCGCTGCGATCGAATTGGATGCGCCAAGCTCGGTCACGATGCAAAGGTGGGGGGTACGGGATGGAGGCGGAAGGTTGGAGGCTGGTTACACACGGTCGGGCAGGCGCTGCCCACACGAACAGGAAATGAACAGGTTTAGTCGTTTCACTCACCGTTTCTTCGACCCATCCAAGAGTACCAGGTACAGATCCAATTTTTATCGCAGCAGACCAACACTCACTGCGCGCCATGCCGCTTACCTATTTAGCTCCAACTCGGTACGTCATCCCGCGGCTCAGGCTTCGCTCCCCCACATGGCCACAATAACCGCGGCTCCTCGTCACCATCACAATATCTGTCGAGGCCACAGACAGCAGCCGGCAGTCAATGCCGTACAATACCAGACAGCAAAAATCCCTCGGCGTATCCATCCATGAGCGTTTCCGAAGCCATCGCAACATAAAAGGTTCTTCTCCACATGCGAATCATATCCACCTGCAACTGCAGCGTATTATCTGTGGGAATCATTGATAAGCCAATCCCATTGCCAAATCCCAAAGCTAGAACCTACTGTTTCGTGACATCCGTAACATTTCTCCTACGACCCAGCTCGCGCCTCCTACCTCTCTCCCTAACAGTGTTTAAACACCTCCCATCCGTGCCTATCATGGAGCGTGCCACCCACTTGTGCGGACCACGACCAAGATCCCGGCTTGGCGATAAACATGACAGGGTATCGATGTAGAGCCGGGAGAGAGGTAGGGGGGAGCAAAGGGGAGAAACCAACAAAGCGCCTGGCAGACTGTCTGTCAGCTAGCACCGCCATTTGAGGCTGCCTGCGCCAAGGCCTGCTGCTGCTGTTGCTGCTGGACAAGAATCAGAGCCTCGGCCTGGTTCACCACTCCCTGAACCAGGTTCTGCTCTTCCGGCGATAGGTGTCCCGCCAGGCTTGAGTAGAATTGCGGCTGCTCTTGTTGCAGCCCTGTGGGTACAGGTCTGGTTAGTCTCTTATCCACAGCACGCTCGGCCTCGTCTAGCCCAGACGCTGGACTCACTCAATAGTGCTGTCCTGAAAATCTGATAGGGCTCGAGCTTTTCCAGAGGCGTCTCCAGGAGGAGAGAATGCTCGCCCAGTTCGTCATCGGACTCGTGTCCCTCTGGTAAGCTGCCAAACTTTTGCGCCTGCGAAACAAACATGTCAGCAACAACGTCCAAGATTCGCATGTTTCTGTGGAATGACCTAAACTCGCCTCTTCGTCCAGGAACTGAAGGTACGCGGTGCTCTCGTCCTTGACTTCGGGCTGCTCCTCCTCAGCCGTCTCGTCAGCGTTCCAGTTGGCCTCATCCTCGTCCCACTCATCCTCCTCCTCGTAGTCGTATGTGCCGGCGTCGAGCGTGTAGTCGTCCTTCAGAGCTTCTGCGCGGTCTAGATGGTTATTTGTCAGCTTATATGGCTCAACGTCGGCATCTCAGTAGGGGTTGGGAGTCGCTTACTCTTCTCGGCGTTCGGAAGGGTTCGGAAGAGGATAGTGATGCCCTGCAGGAGTCGAGGCCAGCCTATGGATACGCTCGGGGGAATCTGGTCCGGGTTGATGCCCAAAAGCGCCACGATAGCAACAATGCAGAGCTTCTTATCATGCACTCGCGAGAAGTTCTCCATGCTGCTGAACCACAGGCTGAAAAACTTATTGGTCCATCCCTTGGCCTCAAGGATCTGCAGCGCGAGCGTCGGGTGGTAGTAGATGGCGTTGATCACCATTTCCATCAGGTGGATCTTAACAGACTTATTCTTGAGATCCTGCGTCATGATGATGTTCATGGCCATGGTGATGAAGCCCTCGATGTAGTTGTCGATGTGGCCGCGGAGGCTAAGCATCATGGCCTCGGCCAGTTTGCATGCGCAGATCCTGTCGACATTACCGACCTTGGAGTCCTCGAACATGACCTTAACCATGTCGAATAGCGCGTGCGTGTACTCTGGGGACTGCACCAGATGCGGCGCGCCGTATTGCACAAAGTTGTCGAGAGCAGGCAGCATGTCCTCGAGGTAAAGCTCGGCCCCCGACTTGAACGTCCTATGGATGTGCTCAAAGGCCTTCCACATGATGGGGGAGATGGCCTTTGCGGCGAATGTGCAGCTGTCGATGATCTCGAACACTTCGTTATAGAGGTCGTAAAGCTTGTTCTCCAGAGTGATCTCGATCACAGGCATGAGAATGGCCTCGATAGCTTGCAGAACCTCGGGTGTGCTCTCGAGGGTGAGGATCAGGGTACCGATGGTCTGCAGGACGCCGAGAGCTGTAATGCTCTTGTCGTCGAGGAAGTCGTTGTAGTCGTCCGCGTCATCGCGTCCCCCGTTCTTCTCCAGCAGCTCGCGCACGATGCGCAGGTACGTGTCCCGAAGCTGCTGACTGAGGGCAACGGCAAAGGGCGTCAGCTCCTTGGCGAACACCTCGACAAAGTCCTCCATGACGTTGGCGAGGGCGTCGATATCGGCCTCGTTGGCCAACTTGAGAAGTTGCTGCATGATTGTCGGGATGTTCGTCTGCATACTCCTCCTGATGATGTCGTGCCTGATGAGGGGCTGCAGTGCAAGCGCAGCCGTCACACGGACGGGCAGGGCCGGATCGGCCATGCACTCGAGTATGTGTCGGTAGATGGTCAGGAGGTTGTTCTGGTCCTTGAAGTTGAGCTGCTCAAACTTCTCGATAGTATCGCAAGCTCGCGCACGCAGGAAACCCTCGGTGCTGGTGAAGTCCGGGAACACGTATCGAACGATGAAGTACTCGACCTGGTCCGCAATGGGGCTCTTCTTGCTCAGAAGAACGGGCGCCAGGGTACCAATCATGCGCAAGGCACCCTCCTTGGCGATGTGGTTTTTATTTCCCTCGGGTGCCTGCTCGTACTCGTTGACGACATTGTTGATAAACGTGAGCACCTCAAACGTCTGTTTCCGCCGGTGCTTGGTCAGGTTGACCAAGAAGTTGGTGGCTGAGACGTCCGGGGACGAGACCTCCTCGTAGAAGTTGAGTTTCCTGTGGAGGTACTCCTCGGGCTGGTCCTCAAAGTTGAGGACATCATCCTCGGACAGACACAGGACTGGGAAGATGAAGTGCTGAATCAGATTGTTCAGATCCGGCTTCAGGTGAGTCCACATCTCCTTGGGCTTCACGCACTCGTCCAGGAAGACGATAATATACGAAAGGCAAGGCCTGCTCAGCCATGCTGTCTTGGCAACCCACTTCTCGATCTCGGCCAGGTAGTGCTTGAGAATCGCCGGCGCAATCGTAGCCGAGAATTCCTGAGCGAATTTGATCTGGTTTTTGGCCTCTTTGCTGAAAGCCTCAGGGTTCCCGTGTCTGCCATGCATCATCTTCGCGTTAGCGACCTCGCTGGCGCGCCACTGATCGAGGAAGTGAATGAAACGAAGGGCCGAACACTCACCTTTGATACAGGCGGTTCAGGTTGTACAAGGCCCACTTTTTGGCCTTCCACCAGTGATGCTTCTCCCGCTCCGGGCCGTCATCGACCATGGCCGTAGCAGGAACGCCCCTTGCGGCGGTCCGCAGGAAGATGTCGCACCAGGACATATTGACATCCTGGTTCATAAGGCTCCCGGGGAGATCGAGCTGGTACGACGCAATACTACGTTAGAAAGCGCATGCACGGGGAGGACAAGCAGAATACGAGGCGGTGGTGGATGGCGATGGCGATAGCTTCGAGTTTCAATAGCACAGGCATAACAGGACAGACTTACAAAGGTTGCGTGCTTGTACGCCTTGAGCGCAATGTGCAGCATCTCGCCCGCGTCGTCGCTCTCCTGGACAACAAGCTCCCTGCAGATCTCAAGCAAGCGCGGAAAGCTGGCTTCGACAATGTCCCGCAAGCGCGCCTGGTTCTCAACATCGTTAGGTTTGAAGCGGTAGGCGCGGCAGATGGCGAGTAGGCACTGCAGACCAGCCAGCACCCTGTCCTTGTCGTTAGTCCCGAGCAGTTCGACCGTGTAGTTCATAAAAGCCGGCCACTTTTCGGGGTAGTCCCAGTGCAGAATGCGCTGGAGGACGGGGACGAGGTTCTGGCGGATGGTGCCTTGGGACGCGGCCAGGAGCGGCAGTAGCCGGTCCTTGAACCGCGTCTTCTCGTCTTCGGGTATCGTGGGCTCATTGCTGAGGTTTTGCTCCGAGGACCACGCGCGATTGACCCGGTTCTTGAGGTAGATGACAGCTAGGTTGCAAAGCGGGTTTCAGTCAGCACCCTCGGCCCATCATTCCGGTGCCCCTCCCGCGTCTCGCGCGGCATCTCGCACAGGGCGGCGTCGGGGAGGGAGGGGGCGGCCGTACTTCCCAAGCGCACGTCCGGGGCCTGGTCGGCTTCGAGGATGTTGACGAGGCAGTCGATGAAACCTGGTTGTTGTTCGGCCTAGCAGCAGAGCCAAGGGCGATTAGCGATGACGGCGACGACGAGGGGCAGGCAGGTGGGTCGGCCGCCAGGGTTGCAAACGACGGAAAAGTAAACAAGCGGAGGCGCCTGACGGGAGCAGGACCCCCCGAAGCGGGGGAGAGAGAGAGAGAGGGAGAGAGAGCACGGAGCGCCGTCCGACAATGCGTACCTGCTTCAGCTCGAGCTCGCCCCGCTTCCTTATGTCGGCGACGGGGTCGAGCGTCGCGAGGACGCAGTTCCGAACCGTGGCCGGGTCCATCTTTGGACGAGGCGGAGAGGCCGCGGGCGGGAGACTGCGCGAGGGAGGGGCGGGATGGACAGAGAGCAAAGACACAAACGCCTCGGATAGGACCGAAAGGCGAGGAAGCACAGAAAAAGAAAAAGAAAAAAAAAGAAGAACAACGGGACGAGGCCAAGAGACCGATCGAGGGAGACAAGGCGTGCGGCGGCTGGGAGGCGCTTGGCCCGCGTCTGCTCTTTCGGTTGCGGTTTGACCGTCGTCTTGTGGTGAGGGTTGGAAAAAAGGCGGTCCCGCACTATGTTGGTGGTGGTGGGCGGCACGGCAGAATTTTGATCACTTTTTGGGTGCGGTTTAGGAGGCGAGCCTAGCGGGTGGGTTGCTGCTGGCACCAAGAAAAAAAAAAGCAGAGCCAAAAATTGGGCGGTGTTGATTGCGACCTGCTGCTGTGCGCCATCGACCAGGAACCCAGCTGCTCTGCCAAACCTGCTGTGTGGGCGGGCAGGCACGTCGAATGGCAGCCCGGCAGCTGCCAAAGGCATGGGCGGGCGGGCTACAGAGATGGCGGGGCATCATGCAGACAGACACCGCGAGTTCTCTCTAAGCTTCTTTTCTATTCACATCGCCCACCCTGGCTTTTTGCCTCCACCCTTCATTCCGCCACCTCATAATAATCAAGAGGCTATGCATCCTTGTTACCGCCACGTTATCGTGTCAAGAAACTTACCGAGCCTGTGTTTTGCACAGGCGGGCGGCTGGCTCCGACTCACCCCCACCCGAAATCGACCAGGATTGAAGGAAGCAAGGGACGATGTCGGAAACGGGCACAGATCACCACCGCCGCCTGTGTGGTGTGCATGCTGCAATCAGCACCAAGCTTCCAACGCAGGGCCCTCTATTTTCCAAACCCGCGTGCTCGCCATCGAGGACGCGACCGAATGCATGGTGCGGCCGATATGTGGTAGGTGGCTTGATTCCATATGCCATGGACGGCCTTTCATGCTGTCTCAAGTTACGGCGGTGCTGTTGCTGGCCCAGCGCCGGCTGCACTGACGGCAGAAAGGAGGGGTAAAGTTTGGCATGGCTGCATGGTGTTCCTGAAATGCGAATTGGACCCTGCCCGACCGCCTTGAGCGTGCAGCCTGGGTGCCAGTTGACTTTCGGTGTGTTCCGACTAGGTTTGATTCCTACCTTCGTAGTTCATTTTCTTCGAGAATTTGTTGGTTTTTCCTTATTTTCCTCATCTAAACCCTCCCCCCTTGACAGCTTTTTCCTCTCCTGTTTTGATGCTTCCTGCCAATCCAAGCCAAGCTCAAGCCCAGCCCCGACCGCCATCACGTTCTGGGCCAGACGCCAGACCCACCGCGAACGAGCTCGCCAGCGGGTGGGGAATGTAACTTTTGTCCCGGCTTGATTGGCCTAGTCCTAAGAACTCAACTCGGACCCCTGGATTTGTCCGTGGCACCCACGAGAAGGAACCCGCGCCGCTGATGCTTATCCATGAGGTTTAACCATTAAACATGTGAACCTCGGAGGAGAGAAGGAAGGCTGAGAGAGCTAAGAAAAAGCATGACCGCCAGCTTGAAATAAAGAAACCGAGAAAAAAAATTAACTTTAGGTTCTGCTTTTCTTGCTAGCATGTATCCCACCCATGCAATAACAGCAGAGACGGAGGGATCGTCGTTTACGGTGAGTGAGGGAGTGCACGTGGTTGACAGACGCATTACCTCTTCCACCACCAGAAAAACAAGGCCAATAGCGTCTTTGGGTGCCGCTTGGGGAATCTGACGCCCTAGGCCACATGCAAGCCTCGTGGTCTGGACGCACCGATGGCCCCCAACCCATTCAACCAATACTGTGGATATGAAGCTGTGGCGGCGGCCCGGGCAAAAAAGAAAATAAAAAAGCCCCTTGCTGAGAGGAGGCTGGCACAGCTCGGGCACCACACCAGACCCAGACGCATTTGGCGGGTGAAATGACTTTCCCCTACGATCTACGAACACCTGTCCTATATCCTCCGAGCGTAGACACAAGGAAGCGACTTATCGGGCAAAAGTGTAGTTCCAATAGGACGCGGCATACCCCTCCATGTGCAAGTGAATACCATCCAGGTAGAACTATCACGTGATCGAATCGTTTTCCAATTTGCTTCCTCAACCACACCAACTCAACACCAAAGCCATCGTACAAAGGGAGCCAACTGCCGGGCAGCAATTTTACATACAACTTTTGAAGACGACCCCAACAGCAAATGCTAACAAAAAATCCAAAGGTGACATGGCGCAAACAGGAAAATGCATCATATTTATATAATGCAACGTGTAGCACGCGAATGCCGTCAAACCCAAGGACACGAAACAATAAAAAGCCACGTTGATCAAACCCTCACCGCCCATCTCTCATGTGTCAGCGTGTCAAGCTATCATTGTCATTAGCAAACTCTGTCCCATACCAGAGGACAGGCTTCCAGGCTAGGGCGTAGGATGTGATCCCAGATCATGTGCACGAAAGGGATCGTTTCGGGAGTCAGGAGTTGGGAACATACCAAGAAACAACGCGAGGGACAGACAAGTACATCACAGAAACTGGCTAAGACTGCGCTGCAAACAGTGATAGGTCCGAGTCCACACTGGAATCCTGGAGACGGCCGATAGAACCATATATCAAGTTGGCCGTAGGCGCTGTGCAGGAACGGGGTCATTGTTGAACGACTGAAGCGGTCCGTTGGGCAAAATTCACGGGTCGGCACAGTGAGTCCAGAGAAGCTTTGATGGGGCAATCAGAGGTTCCGATGTCGGATGAGGGTCGAAACTCCGGGGAAGAATGCTGGAAGACCAATACAGAACACGGGCCCAAAAAAGCAGAAGAAATGTCGATATCCTGAAGGCGTGGCCACTGATAGCTGCGCAAGCGTCACCACAATGGCTGATGGGCGTTGGTGCTGCGGATGAGAGGCCAACTCCTGCTCCAGAATCTGGACAGGGCCTTGTGTATCCAAAAGATATCCCAAGTGTGCAGGGTTCTGCGACAGGAATGAGAGCCAAGGATGTCGATAAACAAGGCAGTCCATGTCCTCAAGTCCCGTTGAAAAGCCCAAGGAAGAGGTGCGCAGCGGATGGGCTAGGTCTTCCTTAATGGAGCTTACCCTTTCAAGCTTCTGTCATACTCCCTTTCAGGAGTTAAGCCACCGAGACTTCGCCAGCGGCAATAACGCACGCGAGGCGAGCAAGCCTGGTTTGGCGAGTGGGAACACTCGAGGGAATGATCAAAAAAGCTCAGACCCTATCCTGTCTGGAAGCGCAAAGGCTTGGGTGAATGTGGCCCATGAGACACCGTTCTTTTCCACGCCCAGGAAGGGCACATCCTTGGTCAGGCTGGGTTGAGATGCTGAAAAAAACAGGGCTCCTTTTCCATGAGCAAGACGAGCAGGTTCCGGGACGAAGATCCAATGGTTCCAGGGTCCAGAGGGATTGAAGTCGAGTCCAAGGAGATGCAGAGAGGCCAGACTTCCGGTGCTAGAATGTCAGTGAGTCAAGAGGGGGCAATGAAGGGGTGTCAGGCAATGCAGAGTCCGATGTGGGAGGTGTCCGAGTAGGCAGGCAAATCAGGTAGATAGGAGGCCTTGCAGATGGTCAATTGTTATATACAAGGTCGGGGGTATCACTCACCTTGCTGTCCGCGATCTCGGCCTTACCTGGCAGGTACCAGAACCAACCCGAAAGAAGACAGGTGTCACGCCGGATCCTTGAGCATCTTTCATGGGAAGGGGGGAAACAAGCAGAGAGATCAGATGACAAGCAGCGCGTCGTCTGCAGGTCAAGTGTTGGCCGGGATCCGGACAGCAAGGGGTCGAGAACCTTGGGAGCCAACGTGGGAGACCGGCATGGGACGTGAAGAGGCGCGCCTTCGCATCCCATCCCTGGTCTTTGGTCCAGATATTAAGAGATCCAACAAGACGGGTGCCGTACAGAACGCTGGTATCCCGCAACAATGAAGAAAACAGGCGAGCAACCAAAGGGACAAACCCCCGTACACATGAAGCCGTGAAAACAAAACCCAAACCCAATCATGAATGTGTCCTTGTGCGCCGATCCAGAGTATGCACTCTTGTAGAAGGCGCCCCCCAACTGGGGAAATGCCCAAGGGAAAGGAGGAAAAAGAACCTCGTGGCCAGTAGGTATCCAGGGAGCAGCAACGTAAAAAGTCGTGTAAGCAGCCAAGCTGGCCGTAATGGCGTCATGTCCGGGGACAGCGTCCCGCATGGCACCTGTGCGGTGAAAAGAAGTTCGATCCTGGGTCGCATCCTCATGGGTAAAAAAAGGCAAGCAACAGTCCCTTCGGGGGCTCCGAAGGGGCTCTAGCGGCTGGTCCCTGAGTTGGCGTGGTCTATTTTCGATTTTGGATGTCCCAACGGGCAGAGAGAAACAGGCATTTGGCTCCCGGGGTCCGTTCCAAGGGTGCGAAAAGCAGCCGGCGATGCCTGGCATGAAGCAAGCAAAGCGCCAAGCGCAACGATCCTGGGAGAACTGGGGAGGGTGCGGTGGGCGGTGGCTTCGAAAAGCACGCAACAAAGGTCTGAACTCACACGAGACTACCAGTGGTCTCATCGTGGGGCCAAGGTGGGAAGGCTGGAAGGCTGTGGGCACCAGAGGAGAGGAAAAAAAAAAAACCTCACGGATGCGGCTCATCGCCGGGTGGTGTTGCCGTAGCGCTGCTCCGGACGGTTATGGTCCCGGCGGGCAGGTTGATTTCCACTGTTTGCGACTTGTTGAGTTTGTGTACTGGGAGCGGTGGGGGTCGCCGAGGCGCGGGAACGGGAGGGGTCTGGATGTTCATACTGTTGATCTAGGCCTGGGTTGCTGAAACCTGTTGAGCCTGCTGGGGATGCTACAAAATCAGAGGTCGTGTTCGTAGGGGAGGTGGCAGCTGGGTACGCACCACGGCCGTGGAAGACATCTCGGGACTGGGCGCCCGCGGCATCGTAGGGAGCTCCGGCTGGCGGAGGCGGCGCACCGGCGTGGCCCATGTAGTAGCCAGCTGGCTGTGCCGCGTAGCCGCCGCCGCCGGCCTGGCTTGTGGGAGGGTACTGGCCCTGGGCTGCCCTCTGATGGTCGCCCATGAACTGTTGCGGCGCACCCTGGCCGAAGTTCATCCCGGTGGCCATGTACGGTCCCTCTGGTGCCTGGTATCCTGCGGGAGCGTACTGTCCCGGGTTTCCTCTGGGGGGTCCATACGGATCCTGGCGGTCATCATATGCCTCCCGCGGGGGGAAGGCGTTGGGTGCCGGGTAGCCAGCGTCCCTAGGAGGGTACTGGCCGAAGCCGCCCTGGCCCGGGGCACTGTAGGGGTCGTTGTAAGGAGGCTGAGGGGCTGGGAAATCACGGCTGGGGCCGGGCATGTGCTGGGAACCGCCTGCTGGGTTGCGCAGCATCGAGTCCATGTACTTCATCTGAGCTGGAGGGGAGTTAGAACCGCTCGTCGAGTAGCAGACATCTCTTCCACACGCAGCCGGATTCTGTATACCTCCTTGGGCGCCCTGGGCCCTGCGCTTCTCCTCTACCCATTTTTGGGAATCCTCTTTGAGAGACTCAATCATGGCCTGTGAGAGGTCAGGTTAGCCGCATCGTCCGTGCGTCGACGACTGATCACAACCCCGCGCGAGGGACGTCGATGCAGCAGTCATGAGAACATGCAGGCCCACATGGCCTAATTGCACGGGATACGTACGCTCGTCAAATTCCTGTAGGCGGTGATGTAGTAGCCCTGGATGATACGATCGTTCTTCTATAGGCACAAAAATCCATGTGGTTAGCAAAACGGCAAGCCCCGAAACGGAGGGGGAAAGGCGGCGAAATTGCAGTCTAGCGACGAGGATTTTTCCTTTGTCGGAGAGACTGACCTCGAGGTGACCGGGCCGTACGAGGGCATCATTGCCCAGGTAGCGGCAGATGTCGGCAGTGATGACTTCACGGTCGATTCCATCTCGTGGGAGGAAGTACTCGTTGTTTCGCGTCGTCGGCGCGGGTTGTTGAGGAGTCCCGGAGGTGGCGGGAGGCGCGGCACGTTGCCTGTCGTTGCGGTTCATGGTCGCTGTGTTGGTCGAGATGAGACTGCGATGGCCAGGTTTCAGAGCGAGCGATGCTGGGCGTCGCGGGTGAGGAATGGAGGTTGGCGAAACGGTCGAAGTCGAGTGTTAGAAAAAATAATTACGCAGCTTCTCGATCCCAAATAATACTGAAGGCGGTTCCAAAGAGCGGCTTTGCAGACTATGTGATGGAGATGGGGATGGCTGATGGCAAGGTGGTGGGCGATTGCGATGAAAAGCGGAAGAGGAGAAGAATAGAAAGAACGGGTAAGGGGAGGGGGGAAGTGGCGGGCGGACGGGGTCGAGAAAAAGTAGGCAGGCCGCCCGGCTAAGGCAGCAGTGGGCAGTGGGCTGTGTGGGCAGAGTGGCCGAGGGCAGCCTGGTTCCAAGAGGCCAGCAAAACCCGGCCGTCTGTGCTCCGCAGGCGCGGCCAGAGTGGGGCGGAGGGGAGGGGTTGTCGGCTAGGTCGTGCGTCTGGCCTGGCCTCGACTGGCGAAGGAGGGCTGGAGGCGGCCACCTGGGAGCGAAGAAAAAAAAAAGACAGCACGTTTGGGTCGGACTTCGCTGGATCGGGCTTAGACAACGTCACGCCGTTGGCCCCCCTTCGCTCGTCGTGCAGCCTGACGCGACGCTCAGGAGATGTCCGACGCTTTTGGCCTATTGTGTTCTGCTGCACTGCTGCACCCTGGTGGGGCCCCCAAAGCCCGGTGGCGACAGCGCGCCGCCTGCTGATTGCACGCAGGCTCGACGATTGGCCACTTCTTCAGGAACCCCAGCCCACTTCTCGCTGCTTCACTCAACCTGTGTGCGTGGTGCGCCTGTCTGTGTGCTTATCCTGGCCGAGACGACGGTTGGTTGGAGGACAAGACACGCACCGCAAGTGAGGCAGACACACACCCCCGGAACCAGGCAGGCCGCCGCCCCTCGCACGCACGCACACAACACACTCTCTCTCACACACACGCACCACACCCCACACGCTCACGCTCACGCACACCATACACGGGTAGTCAGGGAGGAGGTCTGGCTGCGTGGAGCATGATGGTTGGCTGCGACGGCCCTGCCGTCCTGCGGTAGCCATTAATCGGGTTGCATGCCTAGCTGTAGTGCTTTGCCACCCGCCGGGCCACGAGAGCGCACGAAGCCGGCGCATACCACATCGGACGCTGTGTCCTGCCCGCCTGTCCTTCTTGCTTCCTTCTCCCTACTTTTGCACCCGCGCCCGTCCTGCTTGTTGTCGAGCACGGCAGACGGACAGGCATTGGCTGGGCAAAGTCGGAGAATGCGACGCCTTGTTGGGCTGCTTTGGGTTGCTGCTCGTGGAAACCCAATTGGACCGCACGCCCCACTGTGATGGTAGATTCACCGACAAAATAAATGGCCAAAGCATTCATTAGGGAATGGCACCGCAGCGAAACTCTCTTCTCCTTTTGATCAGGTTGGATAATCGTCACCATCACGGTCAAGGGCCCTTTCGTTTCGCTAGCCCTTGTGCATCATCCGTTATGGGCAAACTTGCGCTAGCCGCCTTCACAAACCCGAGGCGATGACCGAGCCCAAACGGGGCGAACAGGAGGCAGGAGCAGAGGCAGGAGTTAGGAGGCAGGACCCATCGGTGAGCCAATTCGGCAGCTAGCACGCTGCGAACTTCTGGTCCATTAATTCGGCAGCCCAGGGGGGCACAAGCGCTTGCACAATGGAGGCACAAAAACCGACGATACCCAAAGGGCTCCGCTCCTGTTAGCTTGGAGCCCAGTCTCCAGCCCAGCCCCCTGGTCGACGGCTAACACAGGCATAAAATCCATAAAGTCATGATACCACAATTAAATGGTACCACGGCGCCTTGGCCGGCTGGCTTCACCCACCATCTTTTCTTGACAGCAGCCCAAGCCCGACCCAGCGATGCCCGGCGTAACAAGCTGTCCACCGCCTAGTCGCCCAGTCAGTTTCGGCATTGGGCATTCATTTGCCTCCTCGTGGTCCGATAGTCTCCTTGACCCGGAATTCCGCTCATCTCTGTCGTGCATTTGCGTTTGTCTCGCTGTCTGCCTGCCTGCTCCTTGCCTGCCTGCCTGCCTCCCAGCCCGCCTGCCTACCCGCCGGCTGCTGGTGCCGCACAATGGCTGGGAGGCCAGCCAGCCTGCTTTTTGGCTTGTGCCCTCTTGGGCTGGTCGAGCCACACAAGACCTGTGACGTGTCCGCTGCAGGACCGGGGTACCCTCATGTTTGGTCGCGGCGCTTGTGTTCTCCGGCTGAGCAGGTACACAGGCTTTGTCTCGCCACCCACCTGCTGATTCTTCCGCTCCCGTCTGTCCGCTCATTTCATTTGTTTGCGGGTTTCATGACGGCGCTCTCCCATGTCCCGTAACGGTCTCGTGCAGCAGCACCTCTGAGGCCTTACTGGCCCGGCGACATCTCAGTTGGTGGCCGGGCTCCGGCGGGCAGGACCCTCTGGTTGGGCAATACGACTTTGCCGGGAAAAGTGCGCGTGGTGCGACGAGAACAGATGCTGCAACAGGTTGGGACAGGTTGGGCATCGACGCAGTCAAGCCCAACCAGCCGCGCCGGTACCACACAGGGGCGAAAGTCAAGGCACCTCTAGCCATCTGATATCACCCTCCGCAGCAAACAATATTGGCGCTGCATGCAGGAGGGTAGTACTTCGTCGACAGGTGTGTGGGTGTCATGTAGGTACGTACATGCCTTGCTGATAGGAGGAGCCACCAAAAGGCACCCTGTGAGCTTGTGGCTATCCGATAGCCGTACGTAAGCAGCCTGGCTCTCGTAGATCCCACGTCACCCCCCTGTTGGCGCAATTGTCGTGTATCTGAGAGCACGCGTGAAAAGGGGTTCGTCCCTGGCGATGCGGCAGATACGCTGCAGCCCAGAGTACAACATTGCCCTGTGCGCCCGCCAGCCGGACCTGGCCCTGATAAGACAAGATCGGACCAGGGAATTTGCCAGGGCGGCCGAGATAGAGTCGAGCAAGCCAGCACGATAATCCTGGGAGAGAAGATCGGTAGTCCTTGAATGGCGTCAGCTCCCCAGCCGAACGATTCCAGAGGCGCCCCACCCGGTCCCTCCTGGCTAGCCTTCGGTTCTGGTCTGGCGCCAGGGAGGGCAGCAGGACAGCAGAGCCGTGGACCCTCGTCGCCTTCGAAAACACACCTGACCCTGTGTCGCAGCAAGGAAAGGACACCCTCCCAGGCGCATCGACGCGGATCCTGTTGGCGCGTGCTAGCTCCACCAAACCCAACTTGCTTCATTTTTCTGTCCTCCCTCGTTGGGCTGCTGCGGGCCATCCCGAAGCCAGGGTTCCCCATTCGTGGACGAGGACTGTGCGCGGCAAGGATGAGACGACGACGAGAGAAACCGGCCCTTTTGCTTCCCCACCAGGAGCATCTTTGTTGGGTTACAGGGACGAGGGATGTTGACGACACCTCTTCTTCTGCTGTTTCCTCGGCAGCCTGGCCCCCAATGGGCCAGCGGAATTTCGGCTCTTGGATATGGAGCCACAGTTGGGCTCGTGACCGCCTCGTTCCCGTATTTGGGTAGTTGGAAGTAGGTTGTCGATGTCCTAGCACCCGTCAGCTCGGGTGACGAAACTGAACTGGACACCTTGGTATCGGCACCGGCAACCGCACCTGTGCTTGGTATTGGACTGGTGAACATGGCGATGCAATTTGGGCGGCAGATACGGGGAGGCGGATGCAGGATCAGACGAGCCGACCGGCGCCTGCAATAGTCCAAGCAGAGGTAAGCCCGCTTTCGTTGTTGGTTTTTGTCGCCAGCGTCGGTGGAATTCTTGTTCCAAGTTGGCCGGCCAAAGATTCGTTGTCCTCCTTGGCGGTACGCATGTGGCAGGCCCTGCCTCCTTGGAGAAACGTTGTGCCTGCCGACTTATTCTTGCTCCCTTGCGTATCACGGTGCATAACCTTCGTCCTTTGCCAAGAGAGACACGCAAGGCATGCGAATGTTTCCTCCTATTAGATGGAAGCCGGACGGGCTGTAGCATGTGTTGTGGAAACCACATCGTCACGCGAAGTGGGACGCGGGCAGGCAGGTTGGGTGCATGCTCTCGTAGGATCGACGCATCGGGCTCCGGGGGGGGGGGGGGGGGGGGGGGGGGGG